CCTACACATATTCAATAATGCTGTCGTATCGTAGCCTGTCTACACAGCTGCGATGGAAAGTGTCAGTGATTAATTTGTATTCTCTCATGATTGTGTCAAACGAGTATTTAGACTTCGTGTCCTTGACAAGAACATGCCTCTCTGCGTGCCAGTGATTCCTTCCTGTGGGTCAGAGATTGTCACTTGGCCTGGGTCCTGCCCTGCTTTCCGTTCTGGTCTGCCCTCATCCTACAGCTGCAGCGGCACACCAGAATGAGTTTAACGTCAAGCGCCGTAATTTTGAGTTAATAATTTTTTTTTTTATTTGAAAGGTCTTTGCCTCCTCTTGGGCTTTTATTTTGTTAAACATAACAGACAGGAAGTGCAACTCACATTTAGAGTATAATGATTTGCCCATTTAACAGATTTTAGAGGGGTAATTATTTTTCTTATATTCTTTGCGTTATAATAATATATTAATTTATGCTCCATTCCAGTTTTTACAGTGTTTCAAAGTGAAAACTGTACAAAATGGTAAATGATAAAGGTCAGCTGGAAACATCAGGACACTTCATCATTACCTAGCTTGGTTTGCAACAACTACAAACCTCAGTATGTTTTATTTGAACTTGACTTGTAAGACCAAAACAAAGTACTGCATGAAGTGGAAGGGAAGTACAATTGCAAGAACTAAATAAATAAAAAGTTTGGCATGCATTTGTCTTTATCTCGCTGTGGAACCACCTCTTGATGCGCTAGTGATTTTTGTTCCAGCACTGAGACATCTGCTGGAATAAATGCGATTGGCCTGGTCAGAGGAATTGCACATGATGGGATGAGTATGCTAAGGTAAGCTTTTACTCAGGCATCTCCGTGGACAAATTGTCTTGATGTGATTTGGAAAAGGGAAGCAGTATGTTAATATACTTACACAGTTAGATGCAGCCCAGAGCATCTCGGTTGCAATCCTGGCTAGCTGCCCGTTTTCAACTTTTATTGCCCTGAGCCGGTCTCTGGGTGCAGACGCGGCTCTGAAAGACTTTATTCCCTGTCCCATGTTTCACATGAGAAGTATGACAATTTATATAACCTGCTCCAGTTCAATTCCAGTCTGTATAAAAGCTGCACACATCTGTTAAATATCCATTTGTTTCTTGCTCTACAACATATATGATTTTTTCTTTGACATAACCTTCTAATTTTGAAAATTACAGACATAGAAAAATGTCTTGTAACCATCCATCCTTTCATTGTTCATTCCTTCCTTGGGGGTGTTTCCAGGTTCCATTAAAAAAAAGTATTTATATTCTCAAAAGAAAAATCTGAGAGGTCATGACAATTACCATCCCCACCTTTCTAATGCAACAGCCAGGGTAGCCATAGACAAAACCCTGGTTTTGTTTTTACCTAATTAACATCTGGTGCTGAGACATCAGCAGCATATTCCTCAGTACAATCACATGAGGTCATTTAAATTATTATTATTTTTTTTATTGGATTCTTTTCTCAAAATTTCCCACAGCTACTGTAAAAATCATATCAGAACAATGAAACATAAGTCCCGGTCACAGTGCATAATAATAATAATAATAATAATAATAATAATAATAATAACTTCATGAAGCCTGATGGTACAGTACGTTACTACATGCATGTTCCAGCATTGTTGTGCATACACAGAATCACACACAGACACGACAGTCACAGCAGTTTTCTAACAGTGTTTCATCTTTAGTTCATGGCACAGTTCACCACTATAAGGTTCATCATACGTACGGTAATAAGCTACACTTAGGACAGGGTGCTCCTTTAAGACACCTGTTACGCCAAAGAATGGTGACTAGCAAAACAACGCTTGACAAAACTGGCGCATTTCCCACCGTCATGCATGCAGACGTGATGCATTAACAGTCTGAGCTCGGGGGGAAAAAAGTCTTTCTTGGCACTGGGACTCATACGGTAGCTTATGGAAAATGTCAGCTTATATCGGCACGGTTATTTTCAGCACACAGCAGACTACATGTATACGCGGTTAAAGATACTAATGAGTTTCTCCGTTGCTTCATAAGACAAAACTGGATAAAGAGGTATTAAGAGTAGATACAGTAATGACCTTAGAACAGACAGGAATTTTTAATTCCTCTCCCCGTAGCAGCTACAGATAAGTCCAGCTGGTTATGTGCAATGAGGAAAATTAAGAGCAATAACAGTTTCAAGCCTTCACATCTTTTGTTTTTTTTTTTGCTTTGAAGCACAGGGGAGGAACGTGATTATGCATTATTGTATGTGTCGAAGGTTTCGCTTGTGTTACCTGTGTGCGTCAGAGTACAGTCAGAGCCATTTAAAAGAAACAAACAACAAAAAAAAAAACAATAAGAAACACAGTGAGGCAAGTGTGGAGCTACACCAGTTCCTGAGTTCGTGTTTGGATTTCTGAAATCTTCTACAGACTGAGTGTAACTGTCATGTTTCGATGTACGCCGACGCTGAGTCAGCCACTGAAGGTTTTTAGACCTTATGAATCATCTGTTTGCAGAAACAATTTCGTTTGAAGAGCAAAAATGCCTTGATACTGAGAGGGTACAACAAATAAGAAAAGAAAAAAAAAACAAAGAAAAAGTAATTTAAGTGTCCTGTCCTGGCAACCTAAGTAAACAGCAGAGTGGGTCTGGTTGCCTTGCAGTGTCAGAGGCAAATTTGGATGCTAATGTGATGAGTTAAGCGCGGTTTTAGCCCAGCTTCATGCAAGAGCTGTTTGCTGTCATCCACCCTGGAGTAGAATGTCTCCGGATGCCCCCGCTCCCCTCTCCCCTGTTTCTTTTGTTGCGGTAACCAGGTCAGGATAAATGCGCTTCTGCTCCAGCTGCCGCTTCTCTGGAACACAACGCAGTGTCTCTTAAGTAGGCCTGCGCGGCCGTCGCATTCAGAAGGTTTGGCTCCAGTCCAGTGCGGCCTGTCGAAGTCCTGCTCGTTAAGACGGAGTGCAGCTGTCCCCGCACGCTCCTGACGCCTTCGCCACCGGGAGGGCGTCTCCGCAGAAAAACAGATGAGTTATGTGTTCATTTTTTCATTTTTTTTCATTTTTTTTTTTTTTTTTTGTTCTTTTCAGTAGAACATTTGTCGCTTCTTCCTGCAGAGTCTTTTGCTTTTTCAGGGCATTTTTCGTGTTATGTTTTTTAATTATTATTATTTTCCCCGTCGTTTGCATGAAAACAGTCCCATCACGCGTCGAGCAGCATTACACGAAGGATCCAGCTGCACAATCCAGATTCCCTCCTCAAGTGAAGAATTTGCAGTTTGTGGAGTCAATAACACAGTACGGTGTGCACTTGAGGAAACCATAAGACCTATAATTGTAGAAGAAAAACATTTACTTCAGGATGATTATTATTATTTCTCATACAGTAGTGCGATAACACATCCAGAGCTGTTCACTATATATATATATATATATATATATATATATATATATATATATATATATATAGTCCTGCCTAATTTCTTTGTATTTTTATTGAATATGCCAAATTTTCTGACCACTTAAAATGCCCGTGAGCAATATTTCTATGTTAAGTTTTCTTTGTATTTTGGCTGCTTTTGTACTTTTTCTTCTTATGCTGTATCTGATCATGATGATCAGCCTAATGTGGAACATGTGTGTTTGTAAATTAGTAAAGTGGAGGGCAGACATAGAAATGTGGTGCCTAAATAACATAATAGTGCAGAAGAACAGTGTGTGAAAGCCTTTTTCTTTCACACAGTGTCAGGAAAACAATCCTGGCAGAAAAGCTGAGTGAAGCACTCGATCACTACTACTAAAAATGACTTTTTGTGTAAATCGATTCAGTTAAAAAACAAAAATGGAACAAACTGTCCAACCAGGCGCCTGAAAATGCGTCTAACATTTCAGTGACGAGAAGCACGGAAAACCTTTCAGAGGCTTCAAAAGAGTTGAAACTTGGGATCCAGACTTATATTTAATCGATAAGCTACAGCTAGACTTTTAAAAGTAATGCTCAGAAATGTTCTCCATCCAATCTGACTGAGCGTGAACTGTTTTAAAAAGACAAATGGGCAACAAAAATGTAAGTCTCTAGATCTGCAAAGCTAGTAGAGAACTCAAAAAGACCTGCAGCTGTAACTGCACTGGAAGGCGGCTCTGCCAAGCTTTGAGGACTGAAGAGAAACACTTCCTGCACTTTTCAGCTTTTTATCTCTAAAAAGCTTTAAAAATAATTTTCCTTCCACTTCATAATTATGAACTAGTTTGCCTTGCGGTATTAAAAAAAAAAAAAAAACACCCTGGCATGAAATAGATTGAAGTTCGTGGTTGTAGCGTGTAAGTGTGGAAAAACATCAAGAGAAATTAATGCTTTTCGAGGCACTCTATACGTAGACTCAATGCTTTTTTTTTAATCAGGAGCTTTTTATGTCTGAATGACTCATAGTGGCATGAGTTAAGTGCCTTCACAAACATCATCTGAAGATCAACACTGCATTGACAGAAAACAAGTAAAAAGCAGCAAAATCCAAAGAAATACTTTAAAAAAGCAGCTTAGCAAAAAAAAAAAAGTAAACAAATCTCTCTCTTTTCTACGAAAATATTTTTAAAAAGTGATAAGTGACTCTAGACTTTTGCACACAGTGCTGTCTAAGCACAGGTATATTTTGCACTCACCCTGGAAGATATGAGTTACACGTTTGGTATCCAAAGTCTTTTCCATCACACTCTTCAGCCCCTTCATAGCGGTATCCGTCTCCACAGTAAGCATGTTTACACTCTACAGTAAGATGAGACAGCAGGAGTGTGGAGGTCAGGTTCTACGTGCGCAGCAAAGTAGAACTAAGGAGGCTGTTGAAGAACATTTTGCGTGTACTTACTGACACAGCCGTCTGTGACAACTCTGTTCCGGTCGTCACACTCCTCCCCGTTGCGGATCTGCACTATCCCGTCACCACAGTAACCTTCGTCGTCAGGTGCGTTTTCCATGGACTGGAAGGGCGTCATCTGGAATGGAAAGGTCTTTTGCAGAATTTTAGTGACTTAAACAAAAAAGGGAAAACCTAACAACAACAACAACAAAAAAGTAAATAAATAAATAAAAAAGAAACGATTGGACAAAAGTCTGAATGCAATCATACCTGGATTGGCAGCCAGCCGTCGACGTCTTTGAAATAGAGCGTTTTCTGGTCTTTTCGGAATGCGAGGGCGTTGTCGGTGTGAAGGCGCTCCAGTTCTTCCTCATTACTCACCACAAATATCTGAAACGAAACGCAAACAGGCCTGATCAAATGCTTTGGTTTGTTAAAATTGATTACGTTCGATTACATCATATTATGGGGGATACTCTTCTTCAGCAGGGACAGAGAAGTAACTCATGGCTAAATGTGGGATATAATACTGGAAAAAAACCAGTCGCAGCAGACGTGAGACGGGAGCAGAGGTCCAGCTTCTACTGGAACGGCGATCCTTTGTGTTAGTCACATAAAATCCCAATTTAAAAAAATAAAAAAATAAAAAAATTAAAAAAATAAATAAATATATTTATTTATTTTTAATAAATAAACCATATATATATATATATATATATGGTTTTGTAGTGGAAAAACCGAAACACTTTTACATAATTAACAAATTTAGGTTCTCAAAACATTTGACTTCATAGCATTTTTATGTGCAACTCCCGGTGCATCTTTTTGACAGCAACACGTTTTCCGTACCACAGGCACTTTGGGATAGCTTCCTGTGTTGGCGTAGTCATCAAACGGTGAAGTACTGAGGGAGCTGCAGCCACAGTTCCCAGGAGGACCCGGTGGACCTCGAGCCCCTTTTGCTCCAACCATGTAGAGGCCTGCAACGAGAAAAAGACATGACTTGTCAACGTATTGCTGAAAACGCGGAAAGGACGAATCAAAATGACATCTGAGGGTGAAGAAGAAACGTCGAAGCCCAGCGTTCGGTTGTCTCAATAAGCTACAAGTCATCAATAACTAAGAGCGCAGGCGGCAGAAGGCGATTTAAATACCAGAAGTCACTGTATACAGTATCAATGATTCATCTATCAAGAAGCAGTCTCAATTAGTGCACAAGTTAAATGTCACTTTGATTATGTGGTGACATAATATTTTCTAAACTGTAGGGAGGCCTGCCATGTGTAAACTTACTTTAGCCACATGATGTCATCATCACAGCCTCCAGTTTCAACTCGGGAGCTCACATGTCTTTCCTACTATATAAGACTGCTGGTGATGCATGGCGCATTGCTCTAAAGTGTGCTTTTCTGTTGCTGAGTTTTTTCAGCCTTTGGCAAACTTTAAGCCAAAAAAATAAATAAATAAATAAATAAATAAACTTTTGACATCTAAGTTCTGCACTGTCACGAAGAAATGTGTCTGTTTTAAGTCAAGAGACATTTTGAAACTTGTTGCAGATGTACCTGCAGCAGGTAAACCAGGAGGTCCGGGGTGACCAGGAGATCCCTGAGGACCTGCAGGTCCGATAGGTCCAGTTTTTCCAAGATCTCCTTTCTGTCCCTGAGATGAAATAAAGGGCACAGAGTTAAAACGAACAAGGTGTTTCTGAAATAAAGCCAACTTTAATATGTCAAAGTCGAAATCAAGTTTTGCTTTAGAAATATACGGCAATCTATTGAAGTCAAAAAGTATCCTAAGAAAAATAAAGGTGAAAAAAAAAAAAAAAAGTTTATGCAATTCTTAACCTGTTCTAATGGTTTACAAGTAATTCCCCCCAAAGTGAAGATGTGCAGGGATTAGCAACTCAATAAAAGGCTGAGTGGTAAAAATAAGTTCCAACATGTTTTTCTAAATGCACTGAACGATTTTACACAATCTTCTCGCCTGTTTTCCTCTCTTTCCAGGTCGGCCGGTCGGTCCTCTGTTTCCTGAGATTCCAGGCTCTCCTTTTGGACCCATTTCACCCTGCGCAACAAGTGAGATCAATGGAATATATATATATATAAAAAAACAAGAATAATTCTAACGAATATTTTACCTAGTCAAATGTTGCACTTCTAAGAAAACAAAGAACAAACGTCTGCTCGTTTGAGCCTTACTTGCCTTTTGTCCAAGCATTCCTGGGAAACCCATGGCGCCCTGTGAACAGAAAACGGCAGATGCTTCATGTTTCACGTAGCGCATGTGTTCAAACCTCTGCTGACGCGTCACGCTCACCTTGTCTCCTCTAAGTCCAAGCTCACCACGATCACCTCGGGACCCCTGACCGAGAAGAAACGGTGTATGTACTCCAGATGTATCTCCTTCAAAGCAAAAATGAGTAAAATGATAACCTACCTTTTCCCCTTTGTATCCAGGTAAACCCTAGGATTAAAGAGATTTAAAATAATGAGACAACAGTTAAACAAAAAAAAAAAAAAAAAAAAAAAAAAAGGGGAAAAGTTAACACCAATTTTTTTTGGGGGGATGCTCCCCTTGGCCCCTTTGGGCCTCTAAATCCGGG